GCAGGGCCGAGCTGGGCCCTGGTTGGGCCCATCCACATGTGCACTGGACAAAGGGCCTTAACCGTCCCCGGCTGGAAGCTGCTGGGTGACAGGGCCGCCAATCACATCGCTGGCGAGGGCCTGGCTCTGGCTCGCAGGGCACCGCGTGGTTGGCAAAGCGCCTGCGCTTCCCACGGTTGTTGTTTGGTTCGCGTGCAGTGAGTGGGAGGATGCCCCTGCAGCCCAGGGCCCCAGGCACGCCAATAATGGATGCATCTAACCCTGCAACCATCGGTCATATGTCGTCCTTTCCCAGTGCCTTCCGTCTGAGGAGCTCAATGCACCATGACCAGTAGGCCTATGGGACTGGGATTAATTCCATCCCACAACTATTTTCCAGATGGGGAAACTGAGGCACAGAGCAATGACATGACTTGCTCAAAGGCTGCCAGGAAGCGGGGAGCTGAGCCAGGAATAGAACCAGGGCTCCCTGCCCTCCATGGGTGTGAAATCCCAGCCCTTCTGGGTGGAACAGACCTGACCCCTGCGCCAGGGAGAGGCTAGGGAAGGAGGCGGGTTTGCCAGGCAGAGCAGAGAAGCAGCATGGAAGGAAGGTTCCCTGCAGGGCCGGCTCAGACCGGCCTCCCTAGGAAAGTCTGAGGGTACGTCTACACTACCCCGCTAGTTCGAACTACCTAGTTCGTGCCCCATGTAGCCGTGTGGCACAGGGTTCAAACGAGCGGGGTTTTAAAAATGGCGGAGCCCCGCTTATGCAAATGAAGCCCGGGAAATTCAAATCCCGGGCTTCATTTGCAAGTGCGGTATGCCTACATTACCCTCTAGTTCGAACTAGCGGGGTAGTGTAGACAGACCCTGAGTGACCAGCAGTCCGGCAGAGCAGGCAAGGCACAAGCCAGCTCCGTGCTGGAGCACCGGGCCCTGCCCCTCGGCTGTGCAGGGGGCCTTAGGTGCCAGGGAGGAGCTCAGTGTCCTTGCCCCATTTGGGGCCTGAGAACCCCGCACTGTGACCTGGACACATGCTCGCTGGGAGCCACCTGAGACCCAGCAAACTCGTTCCACGCAGGCTGCCCGACGCTTGTGAACGGGCAGGGGTCCCTGGCTCCAGACCGCCTCCATGCCCATCCCCCGAGGCCCTGGCGCCAGCCAGATGGGATGGCTGCAGAGCCGGAGGGCGGGAGGCGGCGTGTCGGGGGCGGGGGGGCAGTGGGGCCAGGCTGGCCCCTCGCGACGCCACAGGCTG